TATATATATATATATATATATATATATATATATATATATATATATATATATATGATTTAGTAGTTAATTTTGATGTTGAGATATATGAGTTAGTTCTTGAGGGCGATATTTCAAACAAAGAAAAGGCAAATTTTTATAAAATAATCTTTAATTCCAAATGTTTTGACATACAATTTGATGTCATCATCAGTGGATCTTATCACTAATTTTATATATGCATTTGTCTCCATCAATTGTTTTTTTAAAACTAGCTTCTCTGCCATTTATTGTCAAGTGGGGATACACCAAACAAATGCAAAGATTTATAAAATCTTTAATTCCAAACGTTTCGACATACAACAATCAAATAAAGTTATCATTTTGATTGTGGTTTTATATTTTATAGTTATGGGAAGAGACCGAGGTTTATGTAACTCGGATATTCTTAAACAACTATAAATTCTGAATTTTAAATCGTATTAAGGTTTAGTTAAAATTATATTAGATGAAAGATGTTCGGCGTTAGTAGGTTCTAACGGATCAGGTAAATCTAACTTTTTAGACGCTATATGTTTTGTAATGGGACAAAATGTTTCTAAATTACGTGGAAGTAATTCAAATGATTTGATATATGGAGCAATATGGAATGAGGAGATAACTCCCAGGGTTTACGTAAAGGCTTACTTGACAATAAATGGTAGAGAAGAGAGTTTTAAAAGAACAATTGATGTTCACAAATGCATATATCAAATTAGTGATAAGATCCACTGAATTTGATGACATCAAATTGTATGTCGAAACGTTTGGAATTAAAGATTTTATAAATCTTTGCATTTGTTTGGTGTATCGCCCTCAAGAACTCACTCTTGATATATATTATTGTTGTACTTTATTATTATTACTCTTCGCTAATTTATAAAAAGAATTTATTTACTTCTATATGTTATATTTATTTGAATTATTTATTTACATCTTATTTTGCTTAGGATTGCATTTTATTTTCAAGTGATGGGTGGGAAACAATTCCAATATTAAATGTGTGTGCGATTACATCTAATATGAATTATAAATATTTACTCTGAAAAATAAGTCATTCTTGAATAGCAAAAGTTGAAGTTATAAACATGTTAGAAAGAAAAAAAGGAACCTGTTTATTGACGTTAATATTACCAAAGACATTACGTTGTAAATAAATACAAAATGATTTGGTTATGACAATAAAATAAAATTAATGATATTAACAACGCGATAATAAATTGAAAAGATATGTGATAATTCACTTGTCTTGAACTTTTCTAGAATCAAAAATAGGTAGTTATGATCGTATAATAAAATATTAGCAATAGTTGAGCGATTACATGTTATCATCATTAGATTATAAGTCACATCCGTTGTTGTTATATGTACAAAAATTGTAGTATTAAATGTATAAAAAAATTTACTTACACAAGTGTAATAATCCTATTAACATTTGTCATTTTAAATTAAACTTTGGTTCATTTTATTTTGTACATATTTTATATCCATTTCTAAATAAAATTAACTTGGCTTTATTTCATAAATTGATGTTGTACAAATGTTTCATTAAAATTTGCAACTAATTAAAATTTGTTATGTCAACACTAGTAATGTTATGTAACAAATAAGTCCGAATAAACAATAATTCAACGTTCTATAATATTTGAGTTTGTTTGAGTTATAGGTGATAAGTCAAATTTGACGTTTGTTAGAACAATTATTTTCAGAAATAGAATTTGGAGAATTCTGGATCTTTTGTTTTTGCAATTAGGTTAATATACCGCATTAATTTGTGAAAGTATATTAAATATAAAGAGAATGTAGAAAATGATATAACACAATATTGGAGTCCGTATTTAAATTACAGCTTCAGTTTATCTAAAGAATTTCTGAACTTGCCTTTTTAAATCAGGACAGGAAAAAGGAGAAAGAGAGAACGGGCTTAAATGATTCGCCTTATCTTGCAATTGTGCTTCTACTAGTGATTCTGGTATAATTTACCTATTGAGTGCTGTCTATATATCATCACATTGAAGATATTAACTTACATGAAGAATGGATATAATATGGTAAAGGCAATAATGGTATTATTGTATACCATAGATAAACAAGTATAACAAGTATTGTATATGTTGTATACAATGTTGTAAGTAAATCTTTAAGCCGCACAGAACAGTTGACTTGACTGAACGTTCGGTCCGGTTATGTAATAATTAATGAATGAAAGAACTTTTTGAAATCGTATGGTCGTCTGGTAAATTAGATCTGCCTGCATAACCATCGGGATCCTAGACAATATAATAATTATTATATTGTCTAGGATCCCGATGAATCCCGATTATTATCGAATTATTAATAATTCGATAATAATCGGGATTCATTGTCGACTGAATGGCCATGACCAAGCAATCCACAGATATTAGATTTAGCAACATTCAAAACTGCAATAAAATTTTCAGCTGTTTATTTCAAAAATAAAGTTTTCGCTTTTACTAAAAACTAATTATAATGCTTAAACTAACCAATTGATATATTTTAAAAACAATTTTATAATATCTGTAACGATATTAACTTAAATTTAATTTTTAACTTCCCGAAGGAGAGGTTTGTTTTCATAAAAAAATCCGATTCGCTAATTTTATGTTTTCTCGACGTTTCAAGGTATTCTGAATCGAATGAGACCAAATTTGGAAAAAGTATGTGTGTGTGTATGTGAACAGATTTTCCGCCGTAAATAGACGTTTTCTCAAAAGCGGCTGGATCTATTTCAAAAATTTAAAAGACATTCGATGTATCTCGATAGGAGTCACTAAATCCCAAAAATATGACATCCGCAAAGACACCCAATACCCTGAAGTTGTCTCCGGTGTTGACCATAACCTCTTATGTTTACTTATGATAACCTGTCAAAATTTCAGCAGTGTTGCTTTCTGCAAATAATTTAGTGGAATATTTAGTGTAATTCTTCTGCACATGATATTTGCTAAGAAGGAACTGTGAAAGCAACTCTTTCATAGAGGTTAGGTGTTATTTTGACGTTTTCATTGTGAATGACAGTTTGGAGGATATTACACAGGATATTTTATCTCTGAATGTTGGTACGCCGTTTTTTTTTAACGTTCGTTGGGTGTTTTTGAGGATGACATCTTTTTGGATTTTAGCTGCGTCTGTATCTCGATGAGGACTAGCGTTTAGCAATTTTGCGCGACTATCAGCAAAGCCGTTTCTTTGTAAATAGCAGAAAAGTAAAAATTTTTTCGTCCACGTTTTAGCCCGCAGTTCTGAACTTTTTTTGGCGATATATATCATGGTCTTATAGAACTTACTGAAATATTACGGCCTTACGACAAGTGGTTTAATTTTGAAAAATTATCAAAGTTTGAGAAAATGAGTATAGTTTTTTTGACGTTTGTTAAAATTAAAATTAGACGATTTACTTGGTATAACGCTAGAGTACTTGGTCTCAATGCACATACTAAACCATTGAAGTCCTACGGAAACTGGTTCAATTATAAAAATTGTCGATGTTTGAAAATTTGCTTTTAGAAAATACTCGAGTTAACGTGTTCGTTCGTTTTCAATTACTCATAAATTAATTTATGTTACATTGATTAAGTCGATTATTTACACATATCGGGACGTTCGTGTAACTTGCCTCTAGGCAAAATACCAATAACAACTAGTTTCAATACATTCTATACTTTGTGTAACGTCAACAGTGATCAGTAAATCATGTGTGTATATTATTATTAACTTTCCGTAGAAAATTTTTCTTCACGTTTTGAAGGTTTCTGAACATTTTGGCAAACCTCAGAAAATATGGATGTGTGTTGTGGTGAGTGTTTTGTATGTCCGCAATTTTTTGTTCACGTTTTCGGGCGCACGAATCAACCGATTTGAATGGTTCAAAAAACATTCGATTCCTATTGATAGGGAGATGTGCTTATTAGTTTTTGGCAAAGGCAGGTCCAGCTGTTACGGAGATACAGAGCAAAGAGTCCAGAAAATACAAATCGAGTTTTTGAGAGAACGCAGGAGTATCCGATTTGAATTTTGAATCTAAAAAACATTCAATTTGTAATGATTGGGAGAAGAGGTGATTAGTTTTTGGAAAAGGCTGGTCCAGCCATTTCTGCAAAAATGCAGTTTTTGAGAGAACTAAGCGTCCAATTTGAATGATACTAAGAACTTTTTTCAACAAAATAGTTGCTTTTGAAAAAAATGATTTTTTTCAAGATTTTTTTTTTTTTGTATATCGAAAATAATTCAGATTTTAATTGTATACTGATCTATATACTTTAAACAAATAATTTCAACTTTGCAATTCAGTTTATATAATTTTTATAAATATTAAACAATGTTACAATATTTATAATAATCTATTTGAAAACATTTAATATTCCTCGAATATTTCGTTACGGTACGGGAAGTTACAGCAATTTATCTTAAAGCACGATGCCATACACCACTAGCTTTTTTTATTATTTATACAACATAATTATATATATTTTCGTACTGAATGTTAGCAGTTTTGCAGCATTTACAAAAAAATAACCTAACTTTTTTTTATTAACTATGAATGGATGCCTGAAATATATATAAATACATATGTTAAAATATATTATGCACGCGCGTGTTTATTTGTGTGTGTTGATATACACGGCAAAACAGAATATATGTTAAATTATACAATATGATAATAAATATAATGTACATGTTTACATTTCTACATTAAATATCGGCAGATGATATGCAATTCATAACTGATATAAATATGATTACATTCAGAATCTATACCGTCGACGTCATATGGTGACTTACACAAAATCACAATCAATCTTTTTGGATATTGTGAAAATGATTGACTGATTGACCGAATTGATTTACTAAATAATTGATAATATTTATTTTTCACCAGAAATAAGCAGTCCGTTACTCTATCCGGTTTTAATTCCGAAATGACGCTAGTAGCGACAAGTGGAATTTCTGGCAACCACGAACGAACAGAAATTCTTATCAAGTGGATGTGTAATCGTCCGTCTGTCAAAGTACATCAGTTAACCTCAAAGATATACTTCAAAAAGACATTAAATTGTTATGAACAATTATATGTTTAAGTTAAACATCTGATATGTATAAGCAATTTTTTGAACTCGATTAAATACAGTAAGCATTCGTCCGACATTATTATTGATATTTATTCTATTGTGTTATCTCGCTTTTGATTACAAGGACATGTTCTTTCAGATAAGCTGGTACACAATTCAGTACTTCAAAATAAGATGAATAAATGAACTGGTTAAAAATGAGAAGTAAATTGTGACTCTTTGAATATGTTTACGACCGAGTGCTCACCCCGTTCAGTCGATGTGCTCATCTTAAAATCTGCTAATTGCTATAAATTAAGTTAACTATAGTATGAAAGATCTAAAGAGTTACAAATAAGAGATAATGTCTGTACGTGGGAGAAAGACCATCATCAATGATGGTGTCATGACATCATCTGGTATTGGAAATCCAAGTGTTTACCATGCCCTAATAGTGATATTTTTAGAATTTTTTGCTTGGGGGCTCCTAACGATGCCAATAATATCTGTTCTAAATGAAACATTCCCAGATCATACATTTCTAATGAATGGATTAATAATGGGTATAAAAGGCATTTTATCTTTTCTAAGCGCTCCGTTAATTGGTGCTCTGTCAGATGTTTGGGGCCGCAAGTTCTTTCTACTAATTACTGTATTTTTTACATGTGCTCCCATTCCTTTAATGACAATTAATACATGGTGGTTTTTTGCTATGATCAGTATTAGTGGTGTGTTTGCTGTGACATTTTCAGTTGTATTTGCATATGTTGCGGATGTTACAACTGAAGCAGATAGATCTCGTGCATATGGTTTGGTTTCAGCAACTTTTGCTGCTAGTCTAGTGATATCTCCAGCACTAGGAGCATATCTAATGCAAATTTATAGCGTGACATTAGTTGTAGCCATGGCCACAGCTATTGCTGTGCTAGATGTATTTTTTATTCTTGTTGCTGTGCCAGAAAGTTTGCCAGAAAAGGTGAGACCAAACACATGGGGTGCTCCTATAAGTTGGGAGCAAGCTGATCCTTTCGTAGCTCTTAGAAAAGTAGGTAAAGATCACACCATTTTAATGCTGTGTGTTACAGTTTTCCTCTCATATTTACCTGAGGCTGGACAGTACTCTTGTATATTTGTTTATCTTAAATTAGTAATGGGATTCACTATTATACAAGTTGCAGTTTTCATAGCGGTTGTGGGTGTGCTGAGTATTGCCGCACAGATAGTTTTAGGATTTTTAATGAAATCATTAGGATCTAAACATACGATAATGATTGGTTTATTATTTGAAATGTTACAACTGATGTGGTATGGATTTGGAAGTCAAACATGGATGATGTGGGCCGCAGGCATTTTAGCAGCTATATCTTCTATTACATACCCAGCTATCAGTGCTTTTGTGTCAATACATTCTCGAGCTGATAGACAAGGAGTTGTGCAAGGTATGGTCACGGGAATGCGAGGACTGTGCAACGGCTTAGGTCCTGCCATGTTTGGTGTTATATTTTATCTTTTTCATGTTGATTTGAATGAAGATCATCTTGGAAATAAGATAGAAAGAAATGAAACTGCTGGTGCAGATGATTATATACAATTAGTTCCTGGGCCTCCATTTGTTTTTGGAGCATTGCTTGTAATATGTGCACTTTTAGTAGCAGTTTTCATACCAGAAGAGCACAAAGATATAAGCCGACGTTCTTCTGGTGTTTCTTTAGATACACATTTTGAAATTGAACGTGGCAGAAAAGTTGCAAGTCCTCTATCACCATTGATTCATACCGATTCTGCACAGCTATAAACATCATATACCATCACCACCTATGCAATACAATTTTATTAATAATGAATAATTAATTTAAAACTAGTTTGAAACCCAATGGTTAATGATAATGAAATAACCAGATACAAATTACAGATATTTTAAATGAGATGTCATACTATAGTACTATTTAAAATTTATCTTCAGTGTTTATCTTTAACTTTCATGAATAACTAATCATCCAAAAAATGTAATATATTTCTGAAGAAATATTTTGTTATAATGATGTAGTTATTTGTTTAAATGGCAAAACCATCATCAAGTCAATACAATGAATGATGCAAAAGAAATGTAAAATTTATCTATCATATTTTAAAATTTTGCTCATTGCCGAGTATTACAAAAATGTGTTATTAAGAATATGTTATTTACTAAATAATAAGTACTAAAAGTTTTTCTAGTTAAGTAGAATTTAGAAAACAATTATAGTTATTCTAGATTATGTTTTACAAACCAAATATTCGGTCTGACGCTATGTATTAATTTTTTTTTTCAGACATATAGAAATATTTATTTTTGTAATTTGTTATTTTAATTAGTATCGAATAGTCATAGTTTGAACTGAATGATAATGTAATAAGCTTGATTCTGACCGACCATTATATTTATATTATAAAATAGATATATAAATGTGTATAATTTATGTCAAATTATTGCAGCAATATATTCTTGGATTGAAATCCTAATGGTGTTTCCTTTTAACTGTAGGCTGAGAGCTATTGAACTTTTGAATAACAGTATTCCTGTAAGGCCAAAAAATTTTACACTGGTGATTCTTAGCGTGCTGTATGAAGTATGAAAACTGTTGCATGTCAGCTTTCAGCCCTCACATCACACACATCAAAGTCGCCCAAGCGTTTGAAAATGCAAAAAAACCCGAAAATGAAGGTGTTTCTGTAAGTTTCAAATTTTTATATGATTTATATGAAAAGTTTAAAAATCAAATTGCCAGGCGAATTCAAGCTGCACAAGTACTTTGCTAGATATATATATATATATATATATATATATATATATATTGTGATATGAGTGGAACGAATATTAAATGTTAAATATGAACAATACAACACTCAGATTTTTAACATACACTTTATTTGGTAATTAAAGATTTTTTGAGACCATGGTATGCCTCATGTTCAGTGTAATTTCAAAACATTTACTTATATACTACACATTCTTTTTTATTTTATTTAAATGACATTTAATTTTTGAAAATTCAAAAAACACCAACTGTCACTTGCAAAGCTTGGCACCTACTAAAACATGTGAAACATACAGAAACATTTTAAACAAATCTTAAGTATTGGGATGAAGAGACAGGATGGGTATTATGATAATGTAAACAAATGGAGTGCGCGATTGCAAACTAAAATCAACAAATGTGAAAACAGATTAATTTATTGAAGAGAATAAGATAAGATAAGATAATAAGATAAATGAAAAAAAAATTATAAATTATTAATGATATTTATATGAGTCGTGTAAAATATTTGTGTTGGTTCTAAGATTTACACTATTGTTAGTCCGAACTATTAACATTGATTCTGCCATGCTCCGTTTAAGTCTATTTCATGAATTAAGATTTGGGGATTATCAAAATCAAACTTATGGTTGTTGATATTAGCATGATACACAAGCGTACTTTTAAATTTTTTATTATTTATTATCATGTTAATATCAACAACTATAAGTTTGATTTTGATAATCCCCAAATCTTTTACTCACAAATATTTTACACGACTCTTATATAAACACCTTATTACACATTATTAAAATTTTTTTTTTTCAATTTATCTTATTCTCTTCAATAAATTAATCTGTTTTCATATTTGTTGATTTTAATATGCGATTAGATTAAGATTTGTTTTTAAATATTTCTGTATATATTCAAATGTTTAGTACTGTGTCAAGCGTTGTAAGAGATAGTTGGTGTTTTTTGTTTTTTAAAAATTAAATATAATTTAAATAAAATATTAAATAATGTATTAGTGTATAATTTTTTACTTTGTTTTGAAATTACACTGAAGATGAGACACAACATGGTTTCGAAACGTCTGTAATTATTAAATAAAAGTGTATGTTAAAAATCTGAGTGTTCATTTTCAACATTTAATATTCGTTCCACTCATACACACAAAATTATATATATATATATATATATATTCAATAGATAAGTCCTGGAATTTATCAATATATTGATTGTTTCTTTTCCGAACAGTAAATCCAATAATAAAAAACAATTTGTTTTCTGAAGATGTTTAATAACGACGTTTCGGAACTAGATACGTTCCATCAGGTTTATTCTGTAATAATTTATATATTCATATCACTAATATTTTTTATTAAAAACACTCGATTTTTTCGAGGATATTTGTAAATGTCGCGACTACACAAGACTTTAACACACACACATATATATATATATATATATATATATATATATATATAAATAAAATGTGTCTCATTGTGGTTAAAATTTATATGTGTTTATCAGAGCAAGTTTGAACAGGCATGTGCAATGCCAGATGATTCTGTCCAGACTAGGCAAAGAAAAAGATGCTGTGGTGGGAGCACAAATTAATATCATGCAGGTAAATTAATTATATTATGAAAAAATTGAACTTTTTAAATTATTATTAAACATGAGATATGCCATTACAATATGGTTTCCGCATGAATTTTTCCATGGCACTTATTCAAAAAGTCCAGTTGCTCTTGATCCATGATGTACATGGTTCATCTATTTAAATTTAATAGTTACATTTATACAGTGATATAAGATGATGCATTAAAATGCATGTTCAATAATTTTGCATAGCCATGTTCACAAATGTGGTTGTTCCAAATGTAATGATATATTTGGAACTTTAAACCGCTATTTATACACTTGCACATCCATGATCTCATCAAAACTCCGCATGCCGATGTTAGTCAAAAATTATCATTGATCGTTCATTGTTAATGTATTTGTTCTGATATGAATCCAAATTTCATTTCAGTTACGTAAATTCCACATGTACTTTATTGTACATACAGCCACTGTTTAGCTCTAATAAATATAGTTGAAAAAAAAAATCATACAACTTTGTGATTAAATTTTATTATATAAATAGTTTTATAAACTACATAAATATTCAATGCTTAAGCACAAATACAAATTCTTAACAAACAATTAGCATAGAGTATATATTAAATTTAATGTAAATAATTTAGGAAACAAGCAATATTAGTATGGTTTAACAGTTAAATATGTTTGAATATGTACTTTGTAATAATAATTAAACAAAATTAAAACATATGTGAGAATAAATGAATCAAAAAATTCCAAAAAATCTAAAATTAAAATGAATGGGATTATTAATCTAGTCATCTTTTTTATCTGGTTCTCCACTGGCCTTAAAAACATGTTCTCTTTCATACTTCACTAATTTATCAGCCATATTATCATATTCGTTATGCAAATGTTCCACTTGTGAAACCATAGCCTCTTTATCTTTCTTTGCATGAGACAGCTCTTTTTCCAAGTTACTAATTTTTGTTTGCAGTTCTTTAATCTAAAATAAAATTTACAGATTTTCATAAGGATCACATGTTTGAATGAGCAGATAAAAAACATACCTTTGAATCACTGTTCTCGTTAGCTGCGTTTTGTTCAGTTTCTCCCTTTTCTGCAATTAACCTACGTGCGGCTACAGTTGCGCTTTCAGCTTGACGCATAAATGCTTCTGATTGTGCTAGTAAGTTAGCCTGTAAATATACATACATACATATATATACATCTAACTTAAGATTCCGCATACATATATATATACATCTAACTTAAGATGATATATATATACATCTAACTTAAGATTCCGCTAAGCTAAGGTAATCAATATTTTTGCATACCTGTGTTGAAATTAGTGTCACCAGCCTTCGAATCACTAATGACAAAAACAAAGCAAAGCCAGAAATATAAAAGTTACGTTGGGCTCGGAATAACCTCATGCTGCCTTGCATCTCAACATTCAAGTGTTGATGTCCATCATGAGATTCTGTAAATACAAAATTTAACAACATAATGGGCTTGGATAATATAGATACACTTGATTTATCTTACCGTTGCTAGAGTATTTTCTCATTTCTCTAATTGCGTCCAATAGGAATAATACTAAGATTGCTAAAAGCACAAGAAAATAAATCTGAGCTTGTCCTGTCAAGCTTTTTAAAAACCTCGATTTGAAAAACGATTGCCATCTCCTAGGGCTTGCTACGGGTAAAACTAATAATAAAACAATGGCTATTTCAACGTATAAGAAAGATGCAATAATCGTCCACTGTAAACTCATTTTTGAATTGCGTATTAGTTAAACTTTATTTGAATTAATGATTATATGATATTTTGCGACACACTATTTATACTGGTATTCACTGAACTATTATATAGTGGTCAAACGATCAATTCTTTCAAAAAATTTCACAAGATTAAATCATATCTGCTACGATGACTAATTCATAATTTCTACTAAAATAACTTCGGTCCACAGTCCGACACGTACGTACATATGTCAAATAAAAACAAAGATGCAGTGGTACCACCCATTACTATAAAATATGAACATTTAATTTAGAATTTAATTTACTAAAAATTGTTAAATATAATAACGATAATTGCGGTTTAAGTAAATAATACCTACACCGATTTTTTAATAAAATGAAAATTCAAAAATAGTTTACGCTTTGTAGTGTATCATTGCCAGAACTGGTAACAAGTGTAGTGCATCATTGCCAGAACTTGTAACATAACTGTCAAATTTTCTACAAAAATGACGGAATCAGTTTCTTCTAAGAATATCTTCTTTTTTCTATTCTTGCTTTTATTCCTCAAATTAAATTATATTCAATTAAACATGAATGGATGGATTTTTCAATCTGATTGTATAGTCTTGTGATTTTCAATGAACAATTAGCATTTTTTTTGGACATTCTCCTTTTTGCGACAAAATTAAATCGCTTTATGAATAGAATAGGTAAGTGTCATGATTTTATATTTTAAATATCTTGAGTATGAAATTTGCTGTCTTTGGAATAATTTCAAAAATATGATTTTATTTCATTAATTTAAATTAACGACAGTGTAATTATACATTGTCGCAAACATTCTTCATATTTTAATAATTAAAATTCTGCTCCTGACTTAACAATAGCGTGCTATTAAGATAAGTCAGAAATTGTCTTGACCTGAGTATGTTTGTCAAAACGTGAGCTTTTTCAGAAAGAATTGTGTTTAAAAATTCATTTACGAGGTGCGTTTCAAAAGTTTGCGAGACTTGATTCGTATAGCCATTTATTTTAGTAACTAATAGCGGAAAATGTGTACCCCTAACCGACTTCTAGTAAATATTTAACTTTCGGTTCAGTGGAAAAGAAATCATTGCAGGTAAATGATAACATTCTTGCATGCATGTTTTAATCATCGATACGACTATGAATAAACTTCGAACAAATCACTACATGATTGATGAGTAAAGTCAATAATTTCTAAGACCTTTCTAGTCGATAAAACTTTTACCCGAATGCTTGAATTGTGCAAGGATTATGCTTATGCGTATGATTGAGCATCTCTTACCAGAGATGCAATACGGTCGTGATGAGGACACAAATGACGATAGTGGGGCAAATCGCCCATCGGTCAACACCCGAATTCTATCATGAATGTCAACATAATATTGTCCTACCGGGTAAAACTGGAAATTTAATGGTATTATGCATAGACCTTATACACGTATATTATATGTATATTTTATATATATTATGTGTATCATATAAGTTCAATGGTATGACGGCGTGTTGTTTTTTTGCAAACTGGACACTCGATGCAACGAGTCTGGCGCCACAATATTAGAAAAAAGTCTAAATTTTTTAGAACTAAGCTGCAGTTGCTTGCTATAGCATTCTCGTTTATTATTGGGACTGATTCGCTTTTTCAAAATTAGCAATATATACAGGGTGGCTGATATGTAATGCAACAAAGTAAAGCGCTATAACTTTGTCATTTTTATTTTAAATTTCATTGTTCAAAAGCAAAAATATCGGAAATGACATCAAATTTTAGAATCAGTTAAGATTTGTTCTAATTGGCCACCTTTTGGCACGAATTATGGCCTTCAAACGGCAGAAAAACCATAAACACGCTGCACGAAAGTTGCTCTGGGGTATTTTGGCGCATTCCCAGCGAGGCGCCTTCCTGGGCTGATCGACACTTTGGTATATTTTAGTGCAAACCTTACTCTCCAAAATGTCCAAGGCACAAAAGTCCAACAAATTTAGATCCAGAGATTTTGGTGGCTATTGTGCGATGGAAATGAAGAGAAAAGCCTGAGTTTGTTAGTGCTGAGTTCTGTTGGATTGTCCATGATCTGCGGCCGAAATTTTGTGTACCCAGGACTTCAATACTGCCTTTAAGACATTTTCCCGATAATTTCGGCAATTACAGTTGGCGGCGCTTGAGTTCTGGTGGCCAATCGAAGGTGTAAATTTTTAGCTGACCTTTTTGGCAATTAAACCCTATCATTTTGTTTGTTCATAAACTGCTCGATTTGGAATGACTTCCCATCTGAGAAAACCAAATTCGGTAACTAGCCACTTTCGTGAAAGCGAGGCAACCCTTTGGCTCCTTCCCGTCTAACTTTTTTTTGTGCATCGATGAGCTCTTGCACTTTTTGGAACTTCAATGGCTTTAGTCCAAGCTCATTTTTCAATATGTGTTGCATCCGTTTTTACCACTGCGACACGAATTTCGATCGATTTTTGCCTATACTTTTTGGATCATTTCTGGTGTTGTTAGTGTTTTTTTTTCGTCCACTTTTTGGACGCGGTGCAACACTGAGTGTATCACGGTTACGAGATATGGTACGAGAAACAAAATATTTGCTCGCATTTAAATGCTGGAGGGCTCTGAAGATAGCCACTTAAGGTTTTCCAACCAAATATGAAGCAATCGCACTATCATGCTTGACTTCCATCACGAATAACTTTGTTTCTGAATGCAATAGATCAAAATGCTTGTGTACGCTTGTAAACAACTAACTAAATGAACAATCTCTGGAATAAATCTGTCATCTGTCTGATGAACGGTCTAGAAATGATAGCGGTCTGAAATTGGTTGCAATTCATATCAGCCACCCTATATATATATATATATATATATATATATATATATATATATATATATATATCTATATCGTTAATTTGGAAAAGGGAAATATTCTCACTATATATATCGTTAATTTGGAAAAGGGGAATATTCTCACTTGCTGGAATTATAATACCAGTCAATTTGCATGAACGAGTGAAAATATTTATAAAATTATAAGTAATCTTCTATTATAATTCATATATACCATTTGATCAAAATCATCTTTACTTGTTAATGGAAAGGTGCGATACTTCAGCGTATGTTCTGCAAACTTCCTACTAGGCGATATTATATATATAGGGTGTCCCAGATCTTGACGTTAAGCCGAAACCGGGTGATAGTATTGACCTTAACTGTCCTAAAAAAAATAGAAAAAAGTATTTCCTACGTTGGAAATTTCGAGCTTTTGGGTGCGACCTAGAGCTTTGCTAAAGTTATAACCAATTTTTGGTTATTATCGATAATTTTAACTAATTTTGTTTATTTAAACTTTGGTCATGCTATTTTTTTTATTCTATCTCTGTATTATTTATTTAGCAATCATACATATCCATATCTCAGACAGGCAGAAGTGCCTGGTATAATAGATTATGGATTGCTTTATACATTTATGCCTATACATATATATTTATCTATTTCATATTATTTAATTTTAAAATATTACATCCATATAAGAAATTAAGTATAAGAGTCATATTTAACTAATAAGGTCAATCTTGTTTATATCTGGTATAGTTTTTTAATTCAGTTTTTTATAAAACATATATTCAAATTTATTATTTTTTGGTTTAATTCTGTTTCGAAGAATAATTCATATTTATTTATTTTTTATTAACCTGCTGTTTGCGAAATTATAATTTATTTGACATGTTCTTGTTTGTGTTCAGTGTATTAATTTCTTGTTGGGTAAGTTTATAGAAGTTTTATATATATATATTTTATCTTCATGTTAGATTTATCTTTATGTAATTTTTCAACCTTTGTTTTTAATTATTCATAATATTTTTTATGCTTATTTTGTGTTAATTTTTTATAATATTTTTAATTAAAATCTGTCACACTTAGCACATTCAGTAATTGTTCTGACTTTATTATATGTATTTTTGAATGGATGGCAACCCAGTAGTTGTCCAATCCAATTATGACTGTATGAATTAACTATACTCGAAGTGTTTGCTGACATTTTTATTATAAATATACAACTATACCCACGAGAAGCGATTTTCACTAAGTATGAAAACGATGGTCTGCCACGTTTCAGCCCTGCACATCATGGTCGCACAGCACAGGGGTTTGAAAATACACAAGTCGAAAATTAAACTTATTTTTGTAAGCTTCAATTTTTATATAATTCAATTTATTAATTGAGAATTGAGAAAAATCAAATTGCCAGACGATTTCAACCTGCACAAGTACCTGCTAGACGAGCCGAAAGGTTCACTTTTATGAGCAAGATGTATATGCATTAAAATAAAACTTTGTCCTATAGGGTTAAAATTTTTCTATGTGTTTGTCTAAGCGATTTTAAAAAGGTATGTGCAATGAAGCGCAATTAATTTAATAAGTGTAACGTAAAATCTATGAATAAATGTAAACTATATTATGTAGAAATTAAAAAGTGAAATTAGAGTTGATATTGAATTTATTAAATACAATAAAATATAATAATTGATTTTCGAACATCTCAATGAATAAATTGAATAATATAAAAATTTGAAGCTTACAGGAACAAGTTTAATTTTCGTGTTTTTTACAATTTCAAACGCCTGGGCGACCATGATGTGCAGGGCTGAAACCTGTCAGGCCATCGTTTTCGTACTCAGCACGCTAAGAATCACTAGTACAAAAGTTTCTAGAATTACAGGAACACAGTTATTCAAAAGGTTCACTACCTATTAGTCTAATAGTAATTGACCCAGTGAGCAAAACCAGGGGCGCCTCTGTCATCATTGTGAGTAGTTTTGATTGCATCCGCTGTACCAATGCTTTGTTGGATTTACTAGATCAACACCAAATTTTAATCACATATGACCAGACAGCCGTTATCGCCGTTTTAAATACCAAAACTATATTTTTAAAAACTAATTTTGAATCGTGTGCGATGAGCCAAGATTTTCCACACTCTGGTTCTGATGGATTTTTTTTTACCCGTCACATTGAATGCATTAAATATTTCTGTTCGTGTCTATTAGTGATATTAAAATCTATGTTACTTCATAATTCTAAAATATCTTTATTGCCAAACGTTCAATCAATAATTATTATGAGTTTTAAAAGTTTGCCATTGCATACATAAATTGTTATAAAAACACTCATTATTTGTACTCAAATGACGATTATTCAACACTAAACCCA